ATCCCCAGCCATTACTGCGGTTGATCTCACACCTATGCTCCCTAATCACAGCATCGCTCAGACTCCTCGCAGGAGGCAGAGGGGAGAAGGAGGAGGAGGAGTTGAGGCACAGGGAAGCTCTTCACACTCAGCCTAAGGCCCACCCTGCAGAAAAGTCAATTCCTTCTCTCACACCAAGTGACCAGAGCTGATTTGGTTGCTCAGCAAGTAACAGCTGAACAGACAGTTTGATTTGCCATCCTCTGCAAGAAAGGACGTTTGTGCTCAACCAACAAACACAGGCACACGCAGAGGACACCTATTACGGGACATTTCTACCCGAGGTGGGATTTGCACTTCAGCCATCTGCAATCCGTGTGCTGGGCTCTACTTGCTTCCACGCAGAGCAGCTTTGCCAGGCTGCAGTGCACCATCGCTGCCTGAATCTAATTCAAGCGTGTGTACTGTAGCCCACAGGGGACTTTAAACCTGGCAGCCACAAGAGCAGTCCAAGAGAGTCCTAACTCAAACGCCAGCTAAGAACATTTAAAGAGCAGATTAAGAAAGAGGTTAGGGACTGATCCTCCTAAACTTCCTCTGCAGCATTCAAGCTCAGCCTTTCAGTATCCAGGGAAACTATAACTGACACCTCCAAAAAACATAACGTAAAGCCCAAATCAGCAACCACTACAGAACTCAAAGCCAGGGCAAGAGACATGCAAGAAAAAAAGTCTGAGCTGGAAGTGTAAAGAGAGAGCTTTTTTCCTCACAGGGTATGATATATAGAAGTAATTCCCTGCTCCTCCCCCAGTCCACATAATCTCATACAGGAATAACGACAAAACAATTGCGTAGACTGCAAATTGTTATGTGTTTTACAGATTTGGAAAGATGGAGAGCAGGGGAAGAATCCAACTCTTTAGGCCACAGGCAAAGCCACAGTAAGGAGAAAACAGTGGTCTAACTTCCAAGGCAGCTTTTTTTTCTTTTTTTCATCAAGAGATGTCACTTGCAAGAGTTGAAACATACAGATTTTCAGCAGCAAACAAAATGTAACAATAGATGTAATCCAAGAGGTTTCTCCCCCCCCCCCCCCATACCTAAAAATCAAGGGCAAAAAAATCCTACACATGGTGGTAGAATCACTATATACTATTTGGCATAAACAACATTTGAAAAACTAACCCAGGATAGATCCTGCCTACCTCTTTCCAGTGCAGGACTATCTCTTAAAGTATATACTGGAGAGTCAAATCCCTGATATTTCCCTACTGCTGGTAAAGCTACTACTTCTCTCTTGATGCTTTTGATCACTGCAAGCAATTTTACTTTATTTGAACTTCACCGCTGCCCAGGAATTGAAGCACTACTTGCTATGAAATTTCATGTTCAACAAGTATTCTGGCAACGCCCACAAGACAACTTCCAAAAAATTACAGTTATTACTTCCCTCTGTCTGTAGCTCTGGTAAAAGCCTGTGCATTCAATCCCATAGGAATTTCAGACTGAAGCATTGTATTTCCCCCATATGTAATAACCACTGGTCTTGTGTGTCAGAAGAATGCTGACTAAGGTGAAGTCTGTTTCTCCTCCCATTCCACAAGCATTTGGCTCCTATTTAACATTAAAGTTCTTGGCATACTCTTCACTGGGAAGTCTTAAGCATCAACACAATGTGAATAATATCATACACTTCATTAAAGCCAAAATACTAATTTAATCTAGACCAGCTCTTATTGACATGATTTATGAAAAAAGAGAGAGAACAAGCATCCAAAAAAACTGAGACAACAGAGAAACAGAGTCTCCTCTCAACATCTGACTTCATATTTTACAAAGGGTGAAAGCTTACTAGACTGAAGTTGTTAGGACCGCCCTTCACAATGATCAGCACCACAGTCATCCTCCTTACTTCCAGGGAAGCCCTGTAACAGCACCATGCCTCTTCAACTCTTTACTACTTTAAGAAAACAGTTTGATAAACATGTCAAGCAGAACCCTTTAAACTCATACAATTCACCCTGAAGTGTTCCTCTTCCTCCTTTTTCAGCTACGTGCAGCAAGCTATTCAGCACTTCTCAATCAGCTATCTAGTATTTCTTTATCAAGAGTATTGAAAAAAGAAGGTAACAAGAGGAACTGTGAAAGGAGAATAAGGGTTTGTTACCATGACCCTGGACATAAGCAAGGGAAGCACTACAGCAGGCAAAAACTTCTGTGAAGCAGCAATGGCCTATATGTACTTCCCAGCAGCAGCAAGACACTGGCTCCTGAAGCAGCAGTTACTACATCGGGTATCTATACATGTTCAAATTCTGTTAGAAAATGTACAATATGTTAAATGTAGCTATTGCTGGCCCTGTGACCCAGCCTAGAAGAAAACCAACAACAGGGGAGGCAGGTCAGGAGGGTGGGTTAACCCTGCGCAACAGGCAGGCACACAGCTGGGCATTCATGCGTGTGCACTGCTGGACAGACACAGCCTCCCCAGGGAGAAGTGCCAGCTGGGGAAAGGAAGCATCAGGCGATGTATATCCAGGATACTACAGAATTAACATCGTAATTCTCCTCCTCTGGGAGACATCTTCCTAAAATGCCTTTCCCTGAAACTTTTTAATTTCAGGTTGCTGAATCGAATCTCCCTAATCACTGAATTACAGTTGCAAAACCTAAATAGGACACATTTTTCTTCAGTGCTTTAAAGACCTATTCCAAGGTGAATTCACTAGTTTCCATCAAAATTTAAAATTCTTTTTCTGTACTAATCACTTGAGCTATCGGCAAACACAGCTGGAATAACTGAGGAACCTATATATTCACCTGAAATCATCATCTACACTCTTTAGCCCTCAGACAAGACTTCAATGAAACCTGATCATTCCCTTGTTTCTGATATACTTCTGTACTAGAAGATACATCCATTTCCTTTCTTGACTCGTCACACTTGCCCTCTACCTACCTAATACCTTTTTAAGTAAAACTTTGCCAGCTGCCTCAAGTTACATTGCTGAGGAACAGACTAATATCCTCAATATATTGTATTTATAGGAAGGTATGAAATCTAGAAAGTAAGAAAGAAATAAAAACATGGCCTATATTCACCCATACTTACTTTTCCTACTTACTGGGTCATACAACTGTCAATATGAGTATCACCTAAATATGAACAATAATAAGAATCTACATATTGCTCCCTCTGTAACTCATTAGGTGCTTGAACACTTAAAAAATGGAATAATTTCTTTTGCTACTTTTGGACTTTGTTAATACATTTCTGAGTTTTGTTTCAACTCTACTCATCTTGCAGGTTTCCCCATTTTTCTCATCTCCAGAGTTAACTTCAATACTTCCTCCTTTGTCAGCAAACTGTTTCTCATTTGCAATCAGGTCATCAAGCTGCCATCTCCCTTCTCAAAGTAGGGCCGTGTCCATCAGTATCTGAGAAGATGGCTCTCCTGAGCTTTAGTCCTTGCTATAGGATGGATGGGGAACTCTGAGGAGTGAACGTGACATTTATGTCTGCCAGCAATGCAACCCTTCAAACCTCTCCCATACTAAGCTGGACTAATTTTAAACTCAAAAGATTGGATATTCTACCTACATTACCAACTGACCATGGAGGGGACACCAGTTCTTACAGGATCTGCAGCCACCTCCTAAACAATCTAGGGCTCCACTGGTTGGTCACCAACACAACCTCACTCAGGCTAGATTCTGACACAACACAGTATCACATATACTTACTTCTACAAGCCAAACAGACAAACCCCCCAAAAAACCTGCATGGCACTCTCTACTTCTGGCGCTACTTCTCTGTGCAAACTACAGTAAATGAGTTTTTTTCAACATTCTTCAAGCTATCTTCTACTCTCATAATCGCATTTCATATTCCAACAAAAAGAATACATCTATTTTTCCCTTTATAGGGATTAGGCAAAATATTCTTCACTTCTAAATCATTATCAAGATCATTTGCCACCTCCTCCTGATATTTTTTTTTTTTCATTTTCCAGTCAACTCCCCTACTAAGCCACCTATTCAACTAGCAAGATAGTCAAGGACCTAATATATGAATTCTGTAAAATCTGAAAGGCCTCTAAGGACTTAGATCGTGTCTTGCTGATGTCTTCTAGAAACAGTTGCCTCCAGCAGCTCAACTTGTTGCATTCTGCTTTCAGCATCTTCTACTACAGTTCAGTATATTTTACTGCAGTTCAGTTTCTTTCACTCTCCCCCTCAAGCATCCCACATGGGTGGGGTGCACCCTGCAAAGGATTACCTACACACTAGAAGGTACACATTCCTTGCATACTACAAGGTACACTATCCTTTGTGCATACATACATCCCTGGAAAACTGAAGACAGAGTTTGGGGGAAGAGTTAAGATCTTTTCTCTTTTTCTAAGATTACAGTCTGATTTCAACTTTTTGAAGAATCCAGGACTAACAAAAGCAAAAAATAAATACTTTTTCTCATTTGTTGAGAAGTCAAATTCACAAGATTTCTCCATCCAACCTATTTTTGCCTTTGAAGGCAAACTTGCTCATTCCCAAACACACCATGTTCAACTACAGCATGAAAAGAGCAAGGAATATAGCATCTATCCATCAAAAAATAGAACAATCACATCTATTCTGGTAAGACAGATCTCCTTGGTAGAAAAGATATTCAGCAAAATCAGTCTGCAACACTTCTCTTTAGTATGAGTGATAGGTACACACAAATGTACACAAATCTTCTATAAACACATCTCCCGCTCAGTTGGCAGATGAAAGATCTCAAAAAGGAAAAAAAAACACAACATCACTTCAGAAAGTAACTGTTTCCAGATACAGGATTTTTTCTATCATCCTACACTACTTCTTTTCAATCTCATCTTTGCCACACAACTCGATTATTTTTTAACACTGAAATCATGACTGATACAAGCAACTTCAGATTCCTTAAACTTATTACAGCTTCACCTCCAGCGTAGTATTTTCTGTTGATAAAAAGAAGAAGGGTAGATTGTGACACTAACCTCTGGCTGACAGTTTTTTGGTGTTGATTATTTTTGCAGCATATTCCTGTGATGAGCTTTTCTTTACACATCTGCGGACCACAGAGAAGGCTCCCCTAGAAGAAAAATAAAGAGGATAGGAGCTACAAAACTGAAAATGAGAATACAATAGCAGCAATTTCTATCCAAAGAGTGGACCAGCTTAAAGATAGGGCAGAAGACATAGAGAGAAGGGAAATAACACATGAGAATCTGATGAACAGTGCATGCTGTCTGATCAGCAAATAAAACCTAGACTATATGAAACTCAAGCCTTCTGAAGATCGCTCAAGCCCTCTCACAGGCAGTGTACCAAGAACAGCACATTTTGCAGGGAGCGAGAGACCATATGGGCAAAGAAACAGGACATGAAGGGATTGATGAACAGGAGACACGCAGCCTAGAACAACACTGCAAACACTAGCCAGTAAATCCATCTCCCAAATACAGTATCTCCAGCAGAGGATATTCTCGGGAAATTCTCCCACATTCAAGTGCCAGCTCAGTCACAAAATTGCTGCAACACTTTGCAGAAGTTACTAGTTCTCTTACACCTCTATACCCACCTGCAAAATGGGGATAAACATTTACCTATTTATGAAGTGAGTAGAAAACTATGAGGCTCTGTATATTTTCTCAAGCTGGAACTACTGATATTATTACAACTATTCCAAAGAGCCACTTGGAGAAGAGGTCTGAGAGAGGGGGAAGAAGGACTTCTGTGAGGGAAAAAAAGAGATAATAAAACAACCACAGTAAAAAGATAGGGAATCAACACCTACAAAACCACACAAATAAGTGCTTGAAAACAGTCCTTTGTAAAAAAAAAAAAAAAGGTGGGAAAGGAATAACAAATGTCTTTGAACGAAAGATCTGAAAAGGGGAAAAGGACAAATAAGAGGAAACTGGCAGAAAATTCCAAGTTCTTCAGACCAGGAATGTGAACCCATATCTATGGGCAAACGTACATAGCTGAAGTATATGAAAGGGGAGCAGAGACTACACAAGGGCCCCACAAGACAGCCCTATGGAGAGCCTAAAATAGCTTGAATCCTCCTGATACTGCAGAGTCCTGCCTTTTCTCCCCTTACTCAACCTCTACATAAAAACCAATAGGCAGCAAGGTGAGCACCAGCACTGAGACCCAGGCTTGGTGACACACAGCTGCAGCAGTGTGGGGAGGGACGGGGACACTGGGCTGGAGAGAAGAGATGCAGCAGAGCCCAGTAGTTGGTGCAGAAAGGGAGGGAGAGCAGCAGCACTCAGGAAAGCACTGTCTCCCTAATCCTACCCTGGCCGTTGCTATGCTGCTTTCCTGTCCTACAGGGTCCCCTCCAAAGCCTTGTCCTAGGGTGCAGCAGCAGGTCTGCCAATACACACACAGTGCGGAAAGGAGGGGTGGAGGAAGGGAGAAGCGCGGTGCAGCAGCACCTGGTCCTTTTACAGGGACAAGGAAGTGAGGACTGAAGCATCGCAGAGTAGCAGTAACAGTGCCGTGTCCCAGCGCAGAAAGAGTTGAAGGGAACGGCAGCGTGTAGCAGGGAGACGGTGCGGGGAAGAGAACGTAGCAGCCTGGTCATGAGGAGGGCAATGGGGGAAGAGAGGAAGTCCCGGGGTGCAACAAGGGCGCGCAGCCCGCGGCGGGCTGCGAGGACACCACATCCCACAGCGGGCTCGACCCAGGGGCGCAGAAACACCTTTCCCTCCAAGCGGCGATGCCACTGGAGGGGACAGGGGGTTGGAAAGCAGGATTACAGCGCGACAGCTAATCCTTCTCCGGCTGCCAGGAAAGCCGGGGCGTCGGCACAGGGCTCCCGGCAGCGCCGGCGGGTCCCAGGGCCGGGGCGGGCGGCGGGGCGCGCAGCGGGCTCCGTACTTGCCAAGCTCCTCGTAGAGCTGGTACTCGTCGGTGAAGCGGGTGCACGTTGCCGTGGTGGCCATGTTCGGGCTGCGGGAGG